TCGTTATTATGGAGACTAGGCCGTAGTCTCTTTCTAATGTTTTTTATATATTAATTTCCGTGTAAAAAGTCAGAATAAAAAAGAGCCTGGACGCCATATATGCAACATACATGTATGTATATAATATATATATAATATAATGTGATAAACTAATTAGTATGTCACTTTCTTACCTTTTCAGTCTTGAGATGATGTGCGGGATATTAGGTTAGTCAATAAACGAAATAAATATGAACTACCCTGTAATAAATGTCTCTATTTGGCTTACTGTTATTTATGGGTGATGGATTCGATCCTTATGCATAAGGTATGGGAAGAAAATGAAGGGAAACGCTTAGTACCATTGTGAGATTCACCGTCTCTTCTATCTTTTGGATCGGGACAAGCTTTAGATAAAGAGAGTCTGGTATGGCTCAACATGCTTTTGATTGATTAATTTGTTGTTAGATAACTGGTCCAATTTATATGAAGAACAGGTACGTAATTTCAGATATGCTCAACAACGCCGTTCGCGCGGTATTCGTAATTGAAATCCCTTTGATTAATGGCTTTTTATTGCCCCAATGTATATTTATTAGACATTGACAAGGAGCCGCATCAATTTTACTTTTCAAATTATTTATCATCCGTTCGATTTTGATATTCGTCAAGGGTTATCAACAGAGAGGAAATCAAGCATCGTTGGCTCTTGGCTGGATCTCTATCCTGTAAATGCCAATGCAATGGAGCTAGAAAGGGTGAAGCTGATCTGCAGTCTCAGCTTACATGATATCACAGTGTATTTAATGAAATGGAAAAGATCGTTTGCCTTTTTGGCTTTAGCTATCGCACGAGATATTTATCGCACGCCTTCGTCAATATCACAGGCTGGTATAGAAAAATTTGTCCGCTGTGACGGAGCGTGCTATTTTGCGTAGAAACACTAAGAAACCCACGCAATTAAGTTTTTACTCATATGTTTCGCTATACCAAAGAGAGTTTTTTACTCCATGCAATGGGTATATCATTTGCGGGTAACTTTAACTTTTGTTTGAAGTCCAACAACGCTAAGAGTAAAAGCTATTGAAAACGGCGCCGGGGTATCCTACTCCAAAATGTACCATTTCTTTTTTTCTTTTTAATGGTACAATATAGTGACACGATAATACTTACATATGTTTTCAGCATAACGCTGAAGGTATTAATGATATCTTGATGTATTGTAACTACGTTAAGAATTTAAGATTCAAATTATACCTTTTAAAAGTACCCTTAGAAGAGAGAACGTCACAAATCACTTTCCCAAATTATGACAAGTAGCCTCTGGGAGATCTGGGGTAATGTAAATCTGAGATATAAAAACGACCACTCTTAGCATTTTTCGGAGGTTTGTACTGAAATCAACATGAATCAACATGGTGTAAACTCAACATAATATTTCTAATTACACGTCGCACGAAACTGGGGACAATTAGAGTAACATTATGGCGTCAAAATACCAAAACAATACAATGGTCAGTATAGGGCGCAATCAGCATTATAACGTCAAAAACGACAAGCGTTACATTTTGTCAAGTTTAGTCAACATAAAAATAAGATGCTTTATTCTTATTCAATCCTGGTAAAATTAACAGAGTAACAAGATCTCGAGGACAATATTTCTAAAATGTTTTTGATTTTTGAAAAACGGTCAGGAAGTCCACTCGGGGCGTTAGTAAAAATTGATGTGTATGGGATTTGTGGTAAATAATCGATGCGTTACATTTTTTCAAGTCTCTAAAAGCAACTCTTATTCTCTTATTATTTGAAAAATAAAGAAATCGGTTATTGTTTTGTAAATTTCGCCATGACAATATTGTGCAGTTAAATTTTTTTTGAAATCAGACCTAATTTAGAAGGTTAAATAAAGGTAAACTTATTGCTAGTCTCCTTCGCCTTCAAAACCTTACACAGTTTTGAAAATCTTAAAAGCGTTCATATAAGACGATTTGAACTGTAGCCGCTAGGCAATTGTGACGTCATAAAAGCACATGTTTCAATGAATAAAATGTGAAATTTTAGTAAAATTCTGATCAGTATTACAAAAGTTATCCCGATTTCAACGAACCGTGCAAGCGTGAAATGTTACGTCTTACATCGTATTTGACGATGTCGGAGTACATTTAACTTCAAAATTATGGTAGATCCTATCACACTTTCTATTGAAAAATAATTTCAGTGAAATGCGAATAAAAAATACTTCAAAATGATATATAATGCACATAGTTAGCTTTTTAAATAAGGCAGATATTAACGCTTAAAGCTGAGATTACCCCGTATTTCCCGAATTGTCCCCAGGTCCGTGCACGTCATAAATACGTTTTCGCCAAGACGTCTTGGAAAGTCACGTGTAGTGTAAATAGGACTAATATGAATTTATTCGAAATAGCGCACAGATGCCGACAGATGTATAACCTTTTATTAATATTATTATACTGTATTTAAGTTACCATAAAAATGACCATGTCAGGTGATGGATCCACAGAAGGCAAACGAAAGGCAAATACCCAATACTGAAATAAAGTTGACTATCATTTTCATGAGTTACCATGCATAACTTGGATTACAGTACAAACTGAGAAAGAGTGGTCGTATATAAATCTCAGAATTTGAATTGTGTACTTTTATTCCGTTTTATTTTTCAGAATACTTTACGAAAGAGATTTGATCCGCTCCCTCCTCTAACGTGTAGTTATAATAAAGAGATATATTATAAATCTAAATTCTTAACGTATTTCAGATTTAAACTGCTCCGTCACAGCGGACAAAAAATGTAAACATTATTTTTTATAAAAAAAATTAAAAATACCCAATACATAAAGATCTCATTACTACCTTCAGAGTTATGCTGAAAACATATGTAAATATTATCGTGTCGCTATATTGTACCATTAAACATATGTTAAAAAGAAATAAAAGAAATGGTACATTTTGGAGTATGATACTCCGACGCCGTTTTCAATAGCTTTTACTCTTAGCGTTGTTGGACTTCAAACAGAAGTTAAAGTTACCCGCAAATGATATATTCATTGCTTGGAGTCAGTAATTTTCTTTGATATAGCAAAACATATGAGTAAAAAAATTAATTGTGTGGATTTCCTAGTGTTTCAATGCAAAATAGCACGCTCCGTCACAGCGGACAATCTTTTCGATACCAGCCTGTGAATATAACCAGTTTCACCAGACAGTCTTGAAAGCAAAATTTCCACTTGAGAAACATAGTAATCACAGGATATCTGATTGGAGATTAGACCACTACAGAAATTCAGTAGGAATACAGAGCCAAACATTCATTTGTATTCGAAACTGATTGTTTTAAAAATTGTAATGAATGTATGTAGATAGAGATATAGAGCTAGTTGGTGACTTCGGCCCACTTTGTGGCGGAATTAATGAAGGTAAATAGAAAGTGCACCAGCACGAACGGAGTATCAAAAATTGCATCGAACCGGAATGTTATCATTCATAATTGCGTACAGTAAGCATAACAACGGCTAGTCTGATTTCATTCTTGGAAGCGTACTAATAAACTGTCTTATCTTGACCGTAACTTAAGATTTGAGTCATCGAGTTGTGGGTGGTAGCTACGTAGAGCGCCATATGAGTTCAAAATAACGTCGGGTACACATGAGATAACAACTTCAGTACAATTTTAGGTATGAATACCGTATTTGAGATTTTACTTACGGCAAAATCTGTATACGTAAAAAACACTGAAGACTTTCAACACTTTCTATTTGTGGGAAATGAAATGTTCATCATCGAACTGAATACTGGAGAAATAATCACATAAAGTTATAAATTGGATTGTCACTGATCTCCGCAGCTGATACGTTGCTACATATGGACGATGTAAAACACTCGATGTATAGCTTAAAAAAGGTTTTACCAGTTATTACAAATAATGAGCTTTATTAATCGTGCAAACGTCGCTACACCAGAAAGGATTCTACATGTGGATTAATTCATAATAGAATAAATAGAATTCGGTAAAATACTGTTTTGAAATATTTTCTGTAGGAAAAGTGTACGTATAATTCAGTAAAGCATCACAGGGCTGAGTCCTACACACGTACATTTTCGGGAAATAATAAAATATGAACTAGGACATATTCTAATGTCGGTATGGATTATGAAATCTAGAATTCCGGAATTCTGCAACTGCACGTTCATTGTTCAATAAAGATATAACTATATGATGAGGTGCGAAACGTTTGGAATAATATGGTTTGTACTATTATTGAATGTGGGAAGTCGAGATATTCATGCTAACTCACCTGTCACTACATTTGATAATAATCTAATACAGAAGCAATGCTATGCGTAGCAATCAACAATAAAAAATATTGACTTATGATTCACAGTAGACGCAGGATAATAAGTATAGACACCATTGTAATAAAGACATATTGCGAATTTTAGTTAACCCGAACACTAAAAATAAAATACATCATTGTTGTAATTACAAGTCCATTATTTACTAATGAAAGGCTTGCAGAAACAGAGTCAAACTTATCAAAATTGATTGAAACGCTAATCAAATCCAGAGGAAAGGATTCCGCTTCCCCAAGGGATCTATCGTAAATGATATAGCGAGTATCGCAATGCTAGAAACGACTCACCGTAGCATTAATATGCATGGATGGACTCCAGTTGTTTAAAATGTAGGGATTACTGATCACTAAACTACGTGCATTTCTCAAGGAAGATTTACTTTGTTATATAGAAGAAGGAAATATAATCAAACTCTTACATAGAAATTAAATTGTTTGCATAGCAGGAGCAAAAGGTTGGACATCCATCAAAGCTCCAACGCTTTGTCGTGCCATATGCTTGATAAAGACTGGATTTCCGTTTCGTTTCATTAACGTCACCCAAGACACTCCTATTGTCTGATCTTGATTTGCTGACTTCTAAATGAAATACATATGGTCGATAAGAAGACATTTAGTTCCCGTTGTGACAGGACTTCGCCACAACAAATGATTACTATTCTAACGTATGATGGGGATCAGGGTAAATGTGCTAAAGCTTATGTGATGACATCTGACGACGAGGACTTTATCGCCCTGAGACCGTTGGCCTACCAGCGTGGTGCCAAGCCGAAATTCGTCGTGAAAAATGCAGAAGATATTGACATTGATAAATTATCTGATGATTCTGATTTCGACGACAAATCTCTGAAAGATATTGCAGTGGAATTTGCGAATGAGACGACTCTTCATGGTGTACCAAAAATCATAAAAGACCGCTCGTGTGGAACTCGTCTCTTCTGGTCTTGCGTGTGTTTAAGTGCTTTATGTATGTTTTTAATACAAGCATCTACACTCATGGGAAAATATTTAGACTACAAGAAAAAAGTTGACATTGAAGTGTTAGATGACCCTGCTCCTTTCCCATCAATATCTCTGTGCAACATACGTCATATAGACGCCATCCTTTTCGAGGAGATACAGGGTTACAGTCAACAACATTATATGAAAGTTTTAGAAGTCATGGAAGCCAGTAAGAATCCAAACTACGTCAGGAATAAAACTGTTGAAGAAGACAAACCATTCTATTGGACGTCTTTAGAAACTTCCATCAATGTACAGGGGTATCTCAGTACAAAACCAGAATTAGTTAAAGAACTCGGCTTTGATAATATCAATGATTTAACTGAAATTATGTTTACACGTGAAACTCCGGCCGCAAATATTGATAAGGATAAAGTGACTCAGTTTGGAATTGAAGCAATTGAGTTTATAATAACCTGTGTCTATTCTGGGGATAGATGTAACTATTCAGATTTCAAACGATTTTTCCATCCCTTTTTCTACAATTGTTTCACATTCAACACATCATCGTTCTTGACTGATAACAGTACCACAGGAAGGAGTTTCTCACTCATAGCGTTCCTTGGTAAAATGTTTAGTAAAGAATCAACAAAATTAGACAGGGGAGATACATTCGGAGACCCCGTGTATAACAGCGATGGGTTGCGTATAGTGATTCACTCGTCAAATAGTGAACCCGATCCCATTCAAGATGGGTTCAATATACCAGCAGGTTTTTCAGCGTCCATTGGAGTAAAAGCGACGCAATATGAGCGTATAGATTACCCATATGGTAACTGCTCGGAACAGGGCTCACTCAGTATGGATAATGGAATATATGACTATACCCTGATATCCTGCCAAAACCTTTGTCTTCAAAATGAAATAATTGAACACTGTCAATGCATTGATATAGCTCTACCAATACCTGAGAACGTAAATGTGTCATTTTGTCAGGATATTGAAAACCCTCCAATATTTGATTGTCTAGAAGACAAGGCCAATGAATGGAAATGTAACGACGCTATACGAAGATCATGGAATAAATTCAAGTGTATGCGATCCGTGAAAGGGAGAGTGTCTATTACTCAACTTGCCAAGCAAAAATGTCGTTGCTACCCGCCTTGTCATGAGATTACGTATGGTGTCTTCCATAGTCTTACATCTTGGCCTTCAATGGACCAAACCATCCCAACAATGGAGAAGGTCATAACTGGGGACTTCATGCAGCGATTCACAACTGACCACGAGAGGAACCTCGTGTGGGAGAACTATTTCCCAAACTATAGCAATGATACAGATTTAGTGAAACTATATCTGGAGACGGATAACCTCACGGTACAGCACGATCTTACTAAAGTATGTGCGAGGTTTTTGAAAGATTTTTCTCACGTGTATGTGTACATTGCTGACGATAATGTAGTGAAGATTACAGAATCGGAGTTCTACAGTGGGGTCCAACTTGTATCTGACATCGGAGGACAGTTAGGCCTGTGGGTCGGGATATCTGTGGTGACGTTGGCGGAGTTACTACAGCTTTGTGCAACACTATGTGGTTTCTTATGCAAAAATAAACACAGAAGAAAACTTAAAAAGGAATTTGAGCGTAGATCTATGCGAAAGAAACAGAGAGGTGCATCTGTACGGACAAAACGATACAATCACCATCATCACAGACCGAGATCACGGTCTCTCTCGAACACACGACAAAATGGGACCCCAACAAGAAACCATCTGCTCAAAAATCAGAATCATCATGTCAATGTGTGAACATCAGCTTACACTTAAGGGCAATACTTATATTTTGATGTTTATATTATATACTTTGTAAGAAGAACGCCAAAAACAATAACATTTGGGTCAGAAATTCATAAATAACATTTGATGGGAAAGACCGGGAGTGCTTTTCCATCACATCTACAGATCTAATGAATGCCTCGTTTTACTGTCCCCTGTGATTCGAACTTTCTCCCTGTCTTCGCCATGCCTACATTTTCTTGCTCAATAGAAAAACAGAGGTGATGATAAAGGAGGTACCGCGAATAACCTTTGTGAAAACGTCTTGCAGTACACAACAACATTGTAAAATATTGAGCTCTTATAATACCATTAATTGACAATGCTTGTCTTATTCAACGTTTCAATATAAAGTAGGCGTGATTTAACATCTTTTAACACGTGAGGTTGAAAAAATGAAATATTATGAACTGGATTGGTAACTTAAAGGAAACCCAACTATTTTTATACTGCTATACCATGAAAAAGAATTGTCATATTGTCGTACTCTCATTTAAATAAACTATAGCAGAGAAAATACATGTTTATAAAGAAGTTGTTCACCAGGACGAAACTTGGAAATGGGACTTGATGCCGTCCCGGCGGATGTAGAAATCTGCCTAACCGAAGCACATTTGCGCTTTGGATCTCCTGCTGGTATTTGATATGGGGAATATCACAAAGATGACATCAATATTTTGAAAAAATGAAATTTTTTGAAAAAATGAAATTTTTTGAAAAAATGAAATTTTAGAAGAAAAAATGAAAATTTGAGAAGAAAATTAACATTTTTGAATATATACCAGGGTTGCTATCCATATCGTCTTTGATATCATCCCTCTAATCCCAATATCATCCCTGATATCATCCCTATCCCAAATATGTGATTTATCCGAGTTGCTATTATATAACCTGGATATTGCTCTGACCATGGTATAAGTTCAAACATACAACCCCCTTTCGTCTAAAACATAATCAAGTAATAATGTTTTCGAGTCATGATGAGAGTCTTGCATTGTACGTACATCTACTCAGGAAAAAGATGTAGCAATCGCGTATTAATCAGTAACAATACACAGTCAGACACTCTGATTCAGGGAGTTCATGTTCCAATTACATTGTATTTTACCTGGGTCACTTGTCAGGTTGGCTTGCTCATTTGGCAGTTATTTAAAAACATAGGATTTCATTAGTTTGGGCCATCCTGTATTTTAAAAAACAGTAGTAAGAATCTATTTATTTAAGGTGTAGGTAAAGTTGAGGTGTAGGTAAAGGTATTGGTAAAGATGGCCGAAAGAGGAAGTACATATTTTTGTAACTATAATTTTTCCATCAAAAGAGGAGGGAAAGTATCGCAACAGATTTCGGACAGTCATATGTTGGATCTTGACTATTCTCTGAGGATTTAAACAGGTGCATATGTTAGATCAATGCATTACCTCCGGGAAAAGCACTCATAGAGATGAAAAAATGATTTCGACTTTGAAACAGGGAAGATGCAAACAACTCACCCACATGTTTTTTCTGAAATATTTTGCTGATTTTCGACCCCTTCCACCCCTGCCTTTTTAATTTTTCTTGCACCAATGTGTTGTGTTTTGACACACAGTTAACCCCTTTAACGGAATAAGTGATCAATAATTGAAAAAGTACTCTGCGAAAGGTCCCCGGACAATTTTTTGAAACCTCTCAGAAGCATCACTGATATAAACCCCAAAACAAAAGAGCTTTGTAATTTTTAAATAGTTTCTTAAACATTGAAAAAATATTATTAAAAAACGTCTGACGTTTTCCTTCTTTTGGTCGCCATTTTTGTTTGAAGAGTTTGAAAATGTCAGTATTGCACATTTCTTAATTTTTCTGCGAAACTTCACCTTAACTCCTTTACAATGATCGTCAATGATATCAAAGGCTATATTTTTGAGAAAATTAAGGAAGGATTTGTAAAAAGAACCGTTTTGAAAAATATCCTCAAAATATGATGATATGACAACGCAATTACATCTCGAAATTTGTAAAAATGTCATAAAAATTTAAGATTTGTATAGAAATAAAATAAAATTGTTGAAATAGCACAGCTTTATCTTTGTCTTTTATTTAATGTTGACCATTGTTTTTATAGTTTACAGTGCATTGGAGTGTTTTATGATTATCTTATCAATTTATAAAACATATTTTTGGATATTTGCAGGCCTATTTTGTTGTTATAAGCGCGGATAAATAAAAGGCCAATAGCCTTTTTTCTAAATTTTTACTTTTTCGAAAAATGTAAGTTACAATTTTGTTAGTCACAGTAGTAGTTTGAGAATGTTCATATTAGGACCCAGGGCTATGATTCTCATTGATTACAAACAATTTCTTTTCCTCTTAACAGCTAATATTGTAAAGTCGCCTTAAACCACATTCATGGTCATAAGTAACGATAACATTTTTTATGTAGAAAAAGATAATGTTTGTATTTAGATTACATAGTTGTGTAATATATAGATTATGTGTGTAGTTTAATTACGCATGATGTTTGAATCAAAACAAACTATTTTCTATCCCACATCATTTGAGACGAGAGGCTCTATCTTGTATGAATGCTACTATTTTCAACTATTTTTGATGTTATGAGTATTGGTTTCTCAATTTATATTTTTTCTTCGACATATATACTGTAATGACTTCTGTATGCATGAAATGTCCCTTGGCTTTATGGTCCTGGATTGTGATAATTGAACATGAATGGTGGGGGAGGAAAGTATTGTTACTGTCTTATTTTAGACGCACATAAATGATACATACATTAGACATCGTTTCCTTTCAAGTCGGATTGTGGTTTGGGATAGTTGGGGTTTGTTTTCCTTATGGCTGATGTACACTTAGATGTTTTCTTTTTCTTGCTGGGCTCTGTAACAAGTTTTGGTCCCTTTCATTTGGCACTTTTGCGTACATATTCAAACTTTGCAGGAAACCTTGAGAAATTCAGATTTCATGATTTAACATGTTTGCAGTTTGTCAGTTTATAATTCTCACTGGAATATACTATTTCTCATAAAATATTACGATATGTAACTTTTTCTTTACTATGAAATTGCTGCCAAGATAAAGTTTTCTTTTAGAATTATTACAAGGAATTTGGGGATTTGAGAACTTCTCGTGCTGTTGCCTAATCAATGTTTTTTCAATGATGTTCTACGGTTTTTATCATAAATCAAATGAAAGTGTGAAAAACGGGTTGCTATGCTTACATTTAACCAATTAATTGTTAAGCTATTTATCTAGGTACATTCAATTTATACTATAATCTTTTCAGTGTGCGGTGCAGCCTAGTTATAAAATAGAATTAGAAAAACACTATCCTCATATAATTACTGTTGCCAAATTTCAGGCAGGCAATACTCATTCAAGCCTCGTTTATATTCGACAGTGTTTACCAGTGAGATTTTATTTATTGCATTCTCCGGGATGCAGGTTAGACTAATGTGCAAACATCATCATGGGTCATTGACTTGCTGTGGAGTTGATCAGCTTATGAAACTTATTGATACGAATGTAAGTGCTCCATCCGTCTCACGGTTCAATGAATTGTTCCGCTTTACTTTATGACACGCTGTTTTGTTTTACTTGCTCATCTGTTTTATTGCAGCATTGTTTGTTTGTTTGTTTGTTTTTTAGTTTATCTGTTTGTGAAGAGCTATAAGAAGGGATGGTTATCCAATTAAAACATAATGACTCAATCAATAGAAACTAAATATATCTGAAACTGAAAATCGTTTTCACCTGGTCATCCCCGTATTGAAATCGTATTTATCGGGTCGTCCATCAATCATTTTTAAACTTTAATTTTTGCCAAGATTGTACTTTTTCTCATTTTATTTATTCCCAAATTTACACTTTTTTAAAAAGTTTTTTCTTTTCTCAAAAGGATCCGTTACCCCATGTACCTAAAGGTGCCCCCAAAGGTTTCATTGAATATAACATGGAACTATTTACTTTTATAAATTATGAACACATCCAAAATAAAATTAGGTGAGAGGGATTAAAACTAAGGTCATTCAGTGCATTTAAGTTTGACTATACTAACCATTCTAAATATCATGTTACGGGTATGTTAGTCTTCACTCATGACTATTTTAAGTATATTGACCATTCAATCAATCGATATATCAAAATATCATTAAGGTAGGACAGGTAGGATTTTCAAAGAATACTTCAATTGAAGCTAAAGGTATAAAGTCAAATGGTTGCTTTTTAAAATTGAAAAGGTACATGTAGGAGAGTTTTTTCGTCAGTTTGAAACCCATTGTTTTGCTATCAAACAAGTGGAGGTATTTTAATCTATCTATCGTATAACATACAGTATCATTATTATGAAGTAAAATATTTTCAGCATCTTTTAGGACAAGCATAAAAAATAAATTGACCCTTTTGTTTCTTTTGGTGAGAACTACCTTGCAAGCAGTGTCCCTTTAAACAGCGACGTGGATATTGATTTAGTCCCTCAGCAATATATAGTATCATCTTCAGGGGAGGCAATTGAATGAAGAATCAAATATAGATTGAGCCATTAGTTGAGAACTACCTTACAAGCAGTGTCTCTTTAAATGGGTAAATGGATATTGATTCAGTCCCTCAGCAATATATCACATATAGGGGCAGGGATGACTGATGAATCAAAAGAATATTGACCCTTTGATTCTTTGTTAAAAATAGTTTAGTGTTCATTAGGATGAGAACTATCTTACAAGCAATGTCCCTTTAAATGGCTGAATGGACAATGACTCAGTCCCTCTGCAATATATCATCTTCAGGGGCATTCATGAATGATCGATCAAAGATAGATTGGCCTATTTGTTTCTTTGGGTGAGAACTACCTTACAAGGAGTGTCCCTTTAATGGCTAAATGGATATTAATTCAATGTCTCTTCAACGTATCATCTCAAGAGATAGACATGACTGATGAATCAAAAGAAGATTGACCCATTTGGTTCTTTGTTTAAAACATTTTATTGTTCATTAGCATGAAAACTACCTTACAAACAGTGTCCCTTTAATGACTAAATGGATATCAATTCAGTTTTCTGCAACGTATCCTCTTCAGAGGCATGCATGACTGATAAATCAAAAATAAATTGACCCATTTGATACTTGTCTGATAGTTTGTTGCCTTGGTGTCTGGCAGATCCAATATGGCCTCCTTTTTAAACTATTTTTTTGCTATACTTTCACATTGTATATCTTCCGCAGCCAGGACCCTCTCTCATGTCATGTTTGAACTATGCAATAATGTAAATACTAAACAATAAAGGTGAAACCAGAGGGGGTCTGACCTGCGGAAGCACCTCGATCTGCCAGTGACTGTAGAAGGTCATCCATTCTTAACACAATAGGGTGCCTTTCAAAACAATAGGATTACAAAGTATCTACGCATGGTTGATCTGCTTAGCCCTTGAGCGCAACAGGATGCCTCGCCGTATTTACAATTGCAAGTGGAACCAAGATTATGCCTCTCCTAGAACCAAGAATTGGTATTACAACCTGCATCATATTATAACCAGTGATCTCTCACGTCCGTTTGATTCTCCACTTGGCCACGTGTCTGCCGAACTAGAGGCAAATGTCTTCCAAAGCTGGTAGCAAACCATTTGGAACGACGGAAACCGCCCAGCAGGCCAAGGAAATAAGTTAAGAACATACAGAACT